TGGCGAGGATGTATGCAAACCTTAATCCAACGTGCTGGAAATGCAAGCAAGCACAGGGAACTTTCTTTCATGTCTGGTGGCTTTGCCCAAAAATTAAAAAATATTGGATAAAAATTAAAATTTGCATATCAGAAATAATTGCAGAGGATATTGAGCTAGAACCAGAAATTTTTTTGTTAGGAATGCTTAAACAAAACATTAGAAAGGAAAAAAAGTACCTAATATTACATATAATTACAGCAGCTAGGTTAGCTCTAGCACAAGTCTGGAAAACAGATCAATTGCCAACGGAGCAGCAAATAATTCAAAAAATTTACACATGTGCAGAAATGGATAGACTAACGCTGAAATTGAAAGATAAGGAAGACTCTCAGTATTTTAAGATATGGGACAGTTGGTATGAGTGGATAAATCAATGGAAAAGAAGGTAAAGTCAAAACTTAGTAAGAAATTTAAAGTAATAATTATACACCATCATTAACGGAAAAAAAAAGGGAAAATAAGTTCTTGTATATATGTGTACTTATATACATTATATATACCTTATTTGTTGTTTGTTGTATTGTTGATTGTATTTTAAGGTTGTGAATGTTTTATACAACTTTATGTTTTGTTTTTTAAATCTAATAAAGTTTGTTTTTAAAATTAAAAAAAAAAAGTTTGAGATGGAAGGGAAAAGCCTGAAGAGGAATGGAAAATAGCCTTGCTTCTGCAAATTCAGTTCTTTCATAAACTTTATCCCCAAAGACGATGCTCTCTTCTGCAATAAGTTGCCAAAAGTTCCAAAACTATTTTGGTCACAATGGAATATAACAGGAAACTCCTATCCTAGCTTCAACATTTTAAACATCAGACTCCTACATGGGCCAGTTATTCCAGCAGATCTTCAAATAAATATCAGTTGCTATTAATTCCTTGAAAGTTGTCCAAGACTGTTTGCTGGAAGTCATGCTGATGTATACCCAAGTTCAGAAATATAAAGTTTCATATAACATCTTTTGGATCCCGAGTATTGAAAATCCAGTCCCATTTGTATAATATCATTCAAAAGATAGTAACAATACCTCTTTGCAGAATCAAGAGATAATCTAAACCTTTAAACAGCCTGCTTTACTATCTACAATGGTGGTTACAATTCTCTTTGAGAAGGAAATGGTTGTTGTTGTTTTTTTTGTCCCAGTCTCTGCCACACAGGGAGTTGTTATCTTTTAAGGCCAGTATTTCACGATTGAATTATGGTTCTCAACAAAAATCAAGGCTGGAGAGAAAAGAATAAAGTAAAATCTATTTTTTTAATGGTAACAACTGTTGTGTGAGGAAGTTCCCTAACCCACTGAAAAATAAATCCTTTCCTTTCTATCTATTCCCCCTATGGTTCATGTTTCTATTTTATTTATTTTAAATTTTGGTCAAATAGAAGATGGCAAAAAATTTTCACCCCCTATTCCTTTATTCTTCAAACACCCCTGTAATAAGATTAGGGTTAGAATTTGAGTTATTTAAGTAATTTCTATATGATGCATCTATATGCAATATTCTATATTGTAGCATGTCCATTTTGAGATTACAATATTTAGTACATCACAGTCAATGACATGAATTAATACCATAAAACAATTTACTTCAAAAACAAGATGAAACTCAAAGTCAAATATTATATAAAACCTGCCCAGAATCCCTCTATGAGGGAGATGGGCGACTTCTAAATTAGATAAACAGTTAATAAATAAAAATATATAAAACATGGCATCAAGATAAAATCTAGGTAGCTGTCTAAAACAGCTTCTATGGAAAGAAGACTAAAGGTTAAAGAACATATAATCCAAATATGTACTAAAGAGCACATGGACCAGTGTAGTCAGATTAGATCTCCCCAAGAAGAGTCACCATTGACAAATCGGAAATATACAGTATATCACAGAAGTGAGTACACCCTCACATTTTGTAAATATTTAAGTATATCTTTTCCTGTGACAACACTGAAGAAATGACACTTGGCTACAATGTAAAATAGTAAGTATACAGCTTGTATAACAGTGTAAATGTGCTGTACCTTCAAAATAATGCAACACAGAGCCATTAATGTCTAAACTGGTGGCAACAAAAGTGAGTACACCCCTAGTGATAATGTCCAAATGGGGCCCAAGTAGCCGTTTCACCACCTGGTGTCATGTGACTCGTTAGTGGTACAAGGTCTCAGGTGTATTTAAGATATACTTAAATATTTACAAAATGAGAGGGAATGTACTCACTTCTGTGATGTACTGTATGATTTGAAGCTTTTGAGCTATTGCACAGCTCTCAAGACAAAGTAGGGGCAAAGAGCATCCACAAAGTATGCACTTGTTCATTCATGGGAAAAAATGTTCCACTCTGGAGGCAGCAACAGCCCCTACTGGTTGGCCACAATCTTCCCAAGCCATCAACCCTTCTGAATTCTCAGGATTAAACTGTCACTTAGTCTGCAATCTAGTCCAAGCAAGAACCAGTTATAAAGCCTGGCAACTTTGATGATGGTGGAAAAGAGAAGTAAAATGGAGGTGACATCTACTTCTGACAAACATTCTAATGTTTGTCAGAAGTAGATGTCTTAAAGGGAATTCTTAATGTAGGAACAGAATCATGGCAAGATAGCATCTCCAACTTTAATTTTCTAATGTGGTCCACAAGAATAGTATGGTTGCTTTTATCCAAAATTGCTATGATATAACCAAGAAAAAGGAAGCATTCCCTATTCACTCTTCTTAAGAATTTATCTATCAGAACAATAAATGTTATGATCCAGACCCAGACAAAATAAATCTAGAAAATCAAGTGTTTAGATTTGTTATTTTACCAGTAATTAAAGGGGGCTCTCTGTTAAATGTTAGCAAAAACCCAAAGGAGACATGATGCTTGTCACACAGTTTAAAAGCACAGCTGTTTTTCTTTTTTTAACTAAATAGAAGACATGAAGATAGAGGCTGTAAGCTCAATTGGAGCCATTGATTTAACCTTTTGTGACCCCTAGGAAAGTTAAGGCTTTTTGGATAAAAATATGGTGGGTCATGCAGAATGTTTTGAAGAAAAAAATTCAATTTTCTCCACAATTGTTTTTATTGGGCATAGTTAAGGGTTTTACACGGGATGAAACAAAATTAATATTGTATATGATACAGCAGCAAGATTGTTGATAGGTAAATATTGGAAGAATGAAGCTTTGCCTACTATCGAGGAATGGACTTCGAAGATGGCTAGCTTTGCAGAGATCGAGTTCCACATATTTAAAAGATTGTTCACAGAGACTTATGAATGGGAATGGAAAAGGTGGATAGAATATGTTCAGAACAAATACCAAATTAGAAAGTATCAAATAGCTTTATTTGAAAACAATGTATTAGAAATATTTTAATATAAAGAGACAAAGAGGGAAAATTATGTAGGGGGAGGGATGGGTTCAGGTATATATATCAGTGTTATTAGTTATGAGTACATAATAGGGAAGTCTGGGGGGAGGGTTAGGGAGGTTAGGGAGGACGGGAAGTTTGGGGAGGGAGTGGGGGGGTGAAAAAAGGGGTGAAAATGTAATTGTAAAACTTTTGCAATAAAAAAAAAAAGAATTTATCTATCAGAACAATAAATGTTATGATCCAGACCCAGACCAAAATAAATCTAGAAAATCAAGTGTTTAGATTTGTTATTTTACCAGTAATTAAAGGGGGCTCTCTGTTAAATGTTAGCAAAAACCCAAAGGAGACATGATGCTTGTCACACAGTTTAAAAGCACAGCTGTTTTTCTTTTTTTAACTAAATAGAAGAATGAAGATAGAAGGCTGTAAGCTCAATTGGAGCCATTGATTTAACCTTTTGTGACCCCAATTATCTCAACAAAAATGAAGTCCCCTCATAAATAGTAACTGCAAATGTGGAATGGGGATGTACAGATCCAGTTTCAATGATTTCACGTTCCTCTTTTTTCTGTGCCATCGTTCCAATCTGCTCTCTTTTTTCCTAGCTACTTTATTTAAAGAAGTGCTATAAGGGTGAAATACACCTCCAAATGAAAAGCTTAACAGTTATTGAGCTTGCCTGTTAGAAAAGGTATTTTGGAAATAACTTGTATAAATCATATAACATGTTTCCCAAACTTCCTTAAAAATAAAGTTATTATTTAACTTTATTATTTATTATTTAACCTTCAAAATCAAATCAAAGAGGAAAGAAAAGGAGAAAGGAGGAAAGGAAAGGATCATTTAAATGCTCAGGGAAAAATATGAAATTTAAGAATTGAACTACAATGCTATATTGCAAAATCAAATAAACTTAAATATCATTATTACAGTCTTTGACAAGTCTTTATAATAAAAAAAATAGAAATAGTTTAATGCAATAATTAATTATCAGGGGAAAAACAATAAAGTAAAATAAACTAACATATAGTTAAAATCTTTGCACAACTGTATGACCTAATTATATTAAGATATTTGGCCATCTTGGTATATGACAATAAAGTCAGAATCCTTTAAAAATTAATAAACATAAAATTTATCTGTATGATCCACAGATTTAGAGATTAATTGGGTAGATATTGCACATAATATAGATTGCAAAATAAAACAGAGTTAAAAAGATTTTGGACTGTGAATCTCAGAAAGAAAGATAGCTGAAAATATTTAGCTATAGTAGATAGGTAGCTATTTAGGAAAAGTAAGAACTGTTGAATCTACCCACCAAAACCCCTCTGTGATGTTGATTGGCTGTTTTAAAAATTTGATAAATAATTAAAAAGACAAAGAAAATAGTAATCAAAATTAAGTATATTCAAAGTAGTGTATATGAAAGCTAAAAGTATCTGTAAGTATTTATATGGAGCTTGTCTTACCTGCAACATCTATTTTATACATGAAGTCATGGGTAGGGTAATCTGATATGTGATCTTAACTCCAAATATAAATATGAAACTGAGGATCTAAAATTAGTTGTGTTTTAAGGATTTCAACTATGATCTTTTATATACTTACCAGGGTGACAATAGCACATTCGGCAGTTAGCTGAGCAGCACTGAACAACGTCCGAACAAAGCGATAAATCTGCTTTTGTTCAGGTTGATGTTTGTCATAATCTGGTGGCAGTTCGGATTTCTGGGGAAATAATATTATTTTTAAAAATAAGAATATGTTACACATAATTTGGAAAGAAGTGGCAGACGTAAAGGGTGGAGAAGTAGCAGAACCCATATTGTAAATTCCAAATTTTTGTTACTGTCCTTATGTCAGTGAGTTTTACCGAAAGGGGGTGGAGATTTTCATCAAAAATATCTAGGAGCATTGTTCCATCTACGTCCCTAGAAGGGGGGAAAGAAAAGAAAAGAATCAATGGTAATGTTACTGAACAAACAGAAATGGAGAGAAACACTTCTCAAAGTCCTACGAAAATAGCTGATCTAGAACAGCGGTTACCAACCGGTGGTCCATGGACCACTGGTAGTCCGCGACAAAATTTTTGTGGTCCGCAGAAAAATTATTTGCATTTTTTATACTGCACTAAATCAGGGGTCCTCAAATACAGCTCCTGGGCCGGATACATGCAATGAACATTTGTGTTGCTGCAGTGTCTCCCCCTTCGGGTTCTTCTTGTGTGGGTCGGAGGGGGGAAGAAATTCCAACTTGGGATCTGCTTCAGCCTCCTGCTAAGGGGCTTTGGGCAAAGGCTAGAGGGAAGCACCACTGGTGGCGAAGAGCCAGAGGACCTTGTTGCAGTGGGACTGCATCATGGCCCGGAACTGGCTGACCATCTCAGCCCGCTGAGCCTCCAGGCACCGGTACCTGGCCTTGCACTCCTGCAGGTCTTCCCTCTGCTTGGAAAGCCTATGCTTGTAGTCCTCAGGAGGTGCTTCTGATGAGCCTCCTTCTCAGCCAGATCCAATTTGAAATGAGACAGCTGTTTTGCCAACTCTTTCTCATGGTGGCTGCTTAGCTCCAGCAACTGCTTCCTGTTGGGGCCCCAAGGAGCCTGGGCAGGCAGGCGAGGAGTGGCTGGGAGGGGAGGGGCAATAGAGGCTGGTGAGGCCATGCCCACCCAGTCACATGACCACCTAGCCATACCCACCCAGCCAGTCATTAGGCAGATCATATTAGTGGTCCGCAGGATTTAAAATTATGAATTTAGTGGTCCCTGAGGTCCAAAAGGTTGGGGACCCTTGATCTAGAACACAATCCCATCCTGTGGCATGTAAAAAGAAGCCATATCAATGGGCTCTATCATCTCGCTAGGGGAGTAAGGATTATATTGAAAAGTAAACTTTCTACATTTGTCCATGGAAAACTACTGGGGGTATGTCATGCTGGAAAAGAATGAATCAGTTGTCACCAGGAATGAAATCCAGCAGGTTCTGACAGGTTCTGGAGAACCGGTAGAGGAAATTTTGAGTAGTTTGGAGAACAGGCAAATACCACCTCTGGCTGGCCCCAGAGTGGGGTGGGAATGGAGATTTTGCAATATTCTTCCCCCAGGAGTGGGGAGGGAATGGGGATTTTGCAGTATCCTTTCCCTGCCCACCAAGCCACACCACGCCCACTAAGTCATGCCCACAGAACCGGTAGTAAAAAAAATTGGATTTCACCACTGGTCCTCACTCATATACCAAGCTATTTAGATGTGAAGGACGTCTGCAAAAACAAAAATATAGATAGAGTTAAGCTCTCCAGATGCTACAGCCAGTCAAGCGAAGAAGTATGGGCACTTCATTAAACTCACTCCGCAACAGAATACGAGAAAGAGTGAAACCTCTTTATTCCAAAAATGAAAGTTGTTTTGAAATTTTAAAATAAAACTTACAAGAGCAATCCTTGGTGGAATGAGAGAGTGAGTCTCAAGGATACCTTATTAACTGGACAGGGGCAAAACTGTATAGCCTTTCCTTTCTTTCAATTTAATGGTGGTTTTTCTTTTAATAGATTGGAATCCAAAGCCAATTCCAACCCAATCCTACAACCCTAAAGAAGCTTGGACCCATCACTGAATGCATTGTTTTGCTTTGCTTACATAATGTCTCCCCTATAAAACTAAGGGATGGGATGGATGGAGGATAAGAACAAGAATGCACTTTAAAGAATAATTTATCAAAAAAAGCACTAAAGCACTTTAAACTTTCTGCCATCCATTGCTTTCATTAGATGCCAATGTAAGTAGAAATATTAAAATATAATTATGGGGTCAGTTGCCACACAGGAGTGTTTTGTTCCATCCCACACAATAATTGCTTAGCAGCAGTGGTTGCCTTTATAAATTGCTGGTGAGCTTTGTTCAATTGGCATGTAGCTGACAATCACAGCAGAAAGTGTGCCGGGTAAATCAGACTTTTGATTGACCTTAGATGGATCTCTCTTACATGGCTAGATCATTACTGATTAGGGAATGTTACAATACTTCCAAGGTAACAGTAGAGGGCACATGTACATCATTCTGGGACAAGGATAATCAGATTCAGAAAACTTCTGCTTTTTTTTTGAAAATATTAGTCTTCTTTGTTGACTACTCATGTTCAGCTTTTCTCCCGAGTCCTCAAAATTAGGGTCACAGCACCCGTCTTTAGGTCGTATTTTGTATCCTACATAACGCAGTAAATGGGGGCAGAAGAATCTTGAAAGGAGAGAAAGACTATAGGGAGCATAAGTGAATCTTCTGCCCACACTCCATGGATGCTAGTTCAGTAACATTTATGTTTGCAGAGGTACAAATGTTGGACAAAACTTCCGTTTAGATAGAAGATGGGCTTCAAGTGAATTTAAAAAGGTACTCCTTTGAAATGAGATCAGTGGGAAGGCCATATAATTTCATGGCAGAAGGACAGAAACGGTTTGGAGAACTAAAGGATTTTGGTGTTCTATATTTTCCCACGGCTGCCAGTTACGGTATATCTGCCACTGACTATGAGCATCAATGTGTCTACAAACAATACCTATGTTGCTTATTAGGCTCCACAATCCACTTGATATTTTTTAACAAATTAAATGGATAGGTGTAATCTAAGATGGTTGAAAAAGTGGTCATCTGACCAAAACAAACAACAAAAGAAAGAGGAAGTCTTCCAGCGGGATCCATCCTAATGGCCTAGAATAGGTAACCTCAAGCAATTTGTTTTTTGCTCAGTTTTTATTTGGTGACTCTCTCCACCAATGCCACAATTAATTATCAGGGGAAAAAAATAGCAAAGGCAGTAAAATAAAATGGCATATCTAATTAAAAGCTTTGCACAACTGTATGTACATGTGTCAATATTCCAAATCTGATCACCAGTACTCATCAACATTGGAGAGATCTATGCATCTTAAGACTTACTACACGAATGGCAAAATGTGAATAAGGATGTTGGTTTTGAATTATATCCATATAATTTACCGCTTAGACATTTGTCTATGTCTCCTCTGCACTTCTGTATTCTATCTAATGATTTTGTCAAGATTCTTTAAAATAAAATAAAAGCTACAATAAAAACTATACAAGGAAGTATGAAGGTTCCTAAGGTTTGTTCATATTATAGATCAGCCATACTTTAAGGTCTCCATCCATGATCCCATTAGAACAGCTTCTCTGTAGCTTATTTTGGGATTTGGAATTATGGAACTACAACACATTACAACACATCCAAGGCTACGTATGCTGTAGCATTGGATATTCATATAAAGTGTCCCTGTTTTGCAAACTTTCTTATAAGGCAGAGAAATTAAAAAAAAATAGGAAAAAACAATTAATTAGTATTTGAACTATTTTCCAATTCAAACTTACCTGTTTTTGATATGGTAGTATATTGCAAGAGCTACACTGTAAAAGAAAATGCAGAGTTCGTGTCTTAATACATATTGCATCTTAACATTAAGTTTTATAACTAAGTCAAATTTCCGAGGGGCAATTCAACCATTTTTTTTAAATCAACAGAGAGAATGTAGATCAATAAAAGCAACAAAAAAAGGATAAGCTGTAGCAAACTGTACTGAATGAATCAACTATACGGGCCAAGATAAAGGTGTTTTATTACCTGAAAACAGGAATAGGTATGCCACCCAGTCATTTCTGTTAGCATAAGTGATTATATAAATTTGAATAAATAAAGAAAAAAAATTGTTTTAAATAGATATTTCCTTCCCTCACTCCAGGTATAGATGATTGGATTGACAACTGCATCTCAGTTTAACGTTGATAATAGTACAAGATATGGCAACACAGCATAGGGAGCAAGAAAGTTACATACAGGTAGCCTTCAACTTACAACCACAATTGACCCCCAAATTTATGTTGCTAAGTAAGACATTTGTTAAATGAGTTTTGCTCCATTTTATGACTTTTCTTGCCACAGTTGTTAAGTGAATCACTGCAATTGTTACATTGGTAACACGGTTATTAAGTGAATCTGGCTTCCCCATTGACTTTGATTCTCAGAAGGTTGCAAAAGGAGATCATATAACCCCGGGACACTGCAACAGAAGTGGGTTTCAGTAGGTTCTGACCAGTTCTGGAGAACTGGTAGCGGAAATTTTGAGTAGTTCGGAGACCTAAAAATTCTGACTGGCTCCAACCCAATCTATTCTCTGCCTCCCAAGTCCCAGTTGATTGGGAGGAAATGGGGATTTTGCCGTAACCTTCCCCTGGAGTGGGGTGGGAATGGAGATTTTACAGTATCCTTCCCCTGCTATGCTCACCAAGCCATGCCCACAGAACCAGTAGTAAAAAATTTTCAAACCCACCACTGCACTGCAACCATCATAAATATGAGACAATTGTCAAGCATCCCAACTGTAAATCACGTGACTATGGGGATGCAGTCATAAGTATGAAAAACAGTCATAAGTCCCTTTTTTCAGTGTCGTTGTTACTTTGAACAGTCACTGTTGTAAATTGAGGACAACCTGTGGCTGACTTTATGAGCTGTTGTGCTGATAAAATAGGTAGTATACAGGCTATTATTATATCTATAAAAAATTAGGCCAATTATATCTATAAAAGAAAGAGATTTAAAGAAAGAATTCAAAGGAGAGATGGACATTGAGAGCACAAAAAATGTAAGAATTTTTAAGAAGTATATTTGGCAAAACAGTTGCCACAATTATCTGTAGCTCTGTGATTTAAATGCAGTTGAATAGATTATAAAAACAGAGTAAGCTTTGAGAATGCAAAAAGGACCCAAAAATGGAAACAAGAAACAAAACAAAGTTGTTTTGCAGAAAACTAAACAATTTCAGGAGGGAAGTAGAAATGACAAAACAGCAGGTTCTGAAAGTGGGGAAGCTCTAAAAATAAAGGAATTAATAGATATAAGTACAAATTCTGAATTGGATGAGACAAGGCAACTAGGATATGAAATAAGGGACTCCATTGGCCGTCAAAACAGTGAGAATGGCAAGTCTTAATACAGTTACAGAGATACCAGGCAAGATGTTAAGACAAATTACATGTCTACATAAGTAGTGTGGAGACTGACAACTTTAATAAGCAAAGGGATTTCATCGTGTCTATTTGCTGACAATGCCTTATCAATTATTCAGTGTCCAGGGTTTTTTTTTAAGATTCTAATTTCCAACTAATAAATAACAATAAAAGATTTTTTTCCTCAGAAGACCTTTACAAAATAATCATAATTCTATGCTATATAAATTAAGGCAACAGGATGTTCCAGTTATATTATAATTTGTCTTTCAAAAATCATTGGCAGAAATATCTGAAAATTCATGCCATTTTTAAGAAAAGCAATATATTTAAATTTTGAATGCTAGGAAAGCTGTGAGACACAACTGTGCAAAATAAAAAAACCCACAGAGAATGCTAATCTGATTTTGCGATTTTTGGCTTGGTATTTGGTATTTGCATCCACATAAGGATTAAAATTTTGAGCCAATTATCAAAGCTTTGACTGCTGTTGGTGATATTTGTGCCGCAAACAAGCACAACTAAAAACGATGGGAACTATTTCTTGGTGGTACATCTGTATCTATGATTTCAACGCTGCAGTAAAAAAAGAAACGATTATCAAAACAACTAGGCAGTTCCAAAAGTATCTCAGCATTTGAAAATGTAAAAAAAAAGAAAAAAAAAGACCAAAAAAAATGCATCAGAAGAAACTCATAAATTGAACCTTAGATTAATCCAAGGACACAAAAATTGTTTTGGAAATGTTAACTAAAAACAAAAATATATTTTCAGCTGTGGCAGTAACAAACAGGAAGGAAGGCAAGAAGAAAATATGTCTGAACTCATTTAACAGACTTCCAACTTCCTAAGAAAGTTGCCAATTTTTAAAACTTCAACTGCAACCTTACCACAACAGGCAAACTTTCACGAAGAGAACTTCTCTAATTTAAGCTATAAGGATGTGTAGCAATATATTTAGGGCCCTTCATATATCCTTACTTACATTTGAAGCTGAAGGAGAAGTGAGGAAAAATGTATCCCCCCCAAACCCCGCAAGTCTCAATCCTAACCATTTCACTCATTTCTAGTACATGAAATCTGTAGCTATACCCCAGAGTATTTCTGCAACCACTTACACATAACCTTAACAATTCTAATTGGGACCAGAATTTCCGTTATTAAGCAATGTGGTTACAAAGCATGATATCATGTTACCGTATCGCTAAGTGATGGTGCACCTGGCAATCCTCACTTTGGTCCTTAAATGAATCCCACTCAGTCATTAGATGAGAATCCACCCCAATCCAAGCCATTCCTGGCTTGGTTTGTCCTAGCCACAAGCTTTGGTAAGGTAAGGAAATACATCCTCTTCAATTCCCCCATTTAATTACGTCCCTGCCATCTCTGCCCTTTTGGTGAGCCTACACTCCACCACTTCTGCCATCATGCACTCTGTTGCCCTCCACTTGGATGGCCATGATGGGCCTATCTGACCTTCACCATCTTCTTCCCTCCAGTGTTGACAATGTCCCTGGCCTTTCAGAAGGCAGCTGCTGGTCATGTCAGACCTTCTTCCAGAAGCCATGCCTATCTTTGTCTAAGGCAGACAGAGAAGTCATGGAGTTTAGGGTAGCCATAAGGACAGAGAGGGGTAAGGATAAAGGCAGAAAGAAGAATTGAAGTGCCCATGTGGCTGTAAATGTAGGTGGGCTGCCAAGTACCTGAATTTTGATTATGGACTCTGTCATAAGTATTATTCATTTGGCATTGTCATAACTTCATATAGGACAATCTATATTAGGTGTTCCATTTTCTAGAATGCTACTGCTGGAAACAATATTTAGAAACAATGCAAGCTCTCTCTCTCTCTCTCTCTCTCTTCCTCCCTCCCTCCCTCCCTCCCTCCCTATCTATCTATCTATCTATCTATCTATCTATCTATCTATCTATCTATCTATCTATCTCTGTGTGTGTCTCTGTGTGTGTGTGTGTGTGTGTGTGTGTGTGTGTGTGTGTGTGTGTGTAATTTTTTTCCGGCAATGGAATGCTGTCGTACCTACCATTTAATTGTATACTTGAGGTTGGGCTGACTGACTGTACTGTCATCCAGAAAAATAGTAGAACAGGAACTGTATTTCCTTCTCAATTGACCAGGAGGATGCTAGAAAAAAAGAAAAGAAAGCATTTAAAAAAAGAAAGACAATACCAGTCACGTAATGCCAACATCATTTCTTCCTAGAAAACAGTAATTCAATAAATAGCTTTTCTTGGTCTCTAGCAGATAGCTGGATACATTCAAGTCAACATAACCTGGCAGAAATCAAGAGAGAATTACACAGTAATCACACTTTCTTTGTTCTTTGTTCAGATCAAAAGATTATTTGCAACATTATCAGTCTATTCTCCAAAGTGAAATAGTTGAATGGAGCCCCTACATATGAAAGAAACAAGATGTACCGTGTTTCCCCGAAAATAAGACCCTGTCTTATATTTTGTTTGAACCCTGAAATAAGTGCTTGGCCTTATTGCCATGCACTCAAAAGCCCAATTGGGCTTATTATCAGGGGATGTCTTATTTTGGGAGAAACAGGGTACATTCTTACATAATGGAGGATAAAACAGAAAATATACCGTATCCTTGCATTTGGCTGATGAGAATCTGGAATTAATGCTTTTTAGTTTAACCAAACAACACAGGCTTCTGCCATCAGATAAAAAAGATAGGAAACCATCATAATTTTTTTCCCATCAACGTGATGCTAGCTTAACAGTGTTCATCTTTGTATATCCTATATTCAGAAGGTTAAAAAGATGTCATTGCATTGAAATGTTCTGAACAAGATTTTAATTTGCCTTTTTTTTTTTTTGGCTCTCTTACTTAAGCTATAGCAGAGGTGTCAAAGTCACAGTCAGCGGGCCGGATGCATCATGCACAGGCCACGCCCATCGTAGAATTCCTAGCTCTGCGAAGGGGAAAAACATCGCGAGGCATCAGATGATGCCACTAAGTTTGACACCCGTGAGCTATAGTGACAAAAGACAGGAACAATGAGAGACATTATGACTTAAGTTCACAAATGCTAGTGTAATTTGAGCCTTAACATGTTGTGTGTGAACTGAGTCATTATCGTCTATGAACTATGGCTTAATGACTTACCAAGTTATGCAATTTGAACCAATTATGGATTACTCTACTAGGCACGGGTGTCAAACTCACTGGGTCACGTTGTCACATGATGTATCGTGGCTTTTCCCTTTGCTAAAATGGGGGTTGGCGTGGCTAGCATGTGACACATCTGGCCCGCTGGCCATGAGTTTGACACCTCTGCTATAAGGCATATTTAAGTCAATTTTAATGTGATGTGCTATCTTAACCATTATACGAAATTCAGCCTATTACACTTTTTAGGGCACAGCTTTCTACTTTGCCAATCAGAGAATCATAGGGAAGGTGTTTTATTTCAACCCTGCCTAAGGCAGCATAGCACACAATCAGCTGCTGTACAACATTTGCTTGGAAACCTCCAGTGATGGAACTTCCATGACTCTTAAGAGGTAGGATTAATAGTGGTAATTTCCAGGTCCAATAAATTCCTCTTTATTTCATGTTTAGATCTTTCTCTTTTGACAGCTGGAGCACACTGCTGGCTCATGCTTAATTTGCACTATGTACCTGGGGCAATGGTGGGGCTCATTTTTTTTTTACTACCAGTTCTGTGGGTGTGGCTTGGTGGGCGTGGCATGGCTTGGTGGGAGTGGCAGGGGAAGGGTACTGTAAAATGTCCATTCCCACCCCAATCCAGGGGACGGTTACTGCAATATCCCATTCCCTCCTGATCAGCTGGGACTTGGGAGGCAGAAAATAGTTGGGGGCGGGGCCAGTCAGAATTTTTACTACTGGTTTTCTGAACTACTCAAAATTTCTGCTACCAGTTCTCTAGAACTGGTCAGAACCTGCTGAAACCCACCTCTGATCTGGGGGCTATGAGATTGGGGAAAGATGGCGTATATTTCCTATTCAACTGATTCCATGAGACACTATACAATGTCATCAACCTTCAGCTTGCTTTTCCCCTTTCTAAAAATTGCTAAATGTTAAAGAAACCTGGAATATTGCTACAAGTAATCTACAACTTGCAAACAGTTCATTTAGTGACTGTTCAAAGTTTCAGCGCCTCTGAAAAAGTGACTTATGACCATTGCAGTTATAAGTGTCACATGATCAAAATTTGTCTGCTTGGCAACCGACTCACATTTATGATGGTTGCAGTGTCTTGGGGTTATGTGATCATCTTTTGCGACCAAGCAAAGTCAATGGAGAAGCCAGATTCACCTAACATTTGGGTTACTAACTTAATAACTTCAATGATTCACTTAACAAATGTGGCAAGAAAAGTCATAAAATGGGGCAGAACTCAACATATTTCTCGCTTAACAACAGGAATTTTGGGCTCAATTATGGTTGTATGTTGAGGACTACCTGTATGGTCATAGAATAGCATGAAAATATTGCAATCTATTTCCTACTACTAAAGATGGAAATGACTTCTGTTTCTCCATGTGTATGTCTCAAAGATATTCCTCTATAAAAGAATCTGACTCCAAATTTCATCAAAATAATAGTAATGAAATACACAAAAGTTGAGACCTTATGCAGTTCATCTTATACTTTGATGAACTGCAATATTGAGCCAATATTCTATTCAGATAGTCATCATTCTAGATAGTTAAGTACTTTGCCCACTAATCCAGATTCTAGTCTACTCTCTTCCAGGGAAATTCACTGGGAAGATTTGGGTCAGCCTTTCCCTTTTGCTTAATCTATTTCACAGGGTTTTTGTGATGTGGATAAATAAAAGGAGGTTCTTTAAGCTCTTGGAGAAAAGGTGGAAACCAATTGAATAAAAGATAAATAATAATAGTGTAATAATCAGTCTCCTATCCTAATATAAAAGCACTTGAAATATTCTGATATGTAAACAGTAACACTCAAGTCAATCAGTGGTGAGGAAATTTTTATTTTTATTTATTTTTATTTATTTTTATTTGTCAGGCATATATAAGATTGCAGATATAAATATGAACATCATTATAAGTACATGAAATGTGTATGAATAAATGGGGACATTAGGACAGGGATGGTAGGCACATTGGTGCGCTTAAGCACACCACTTACACAGACCTCTTAGGAGTGGGGTGATCTTGCTGAAATCATATTTTCTGCAATTGAATTTGGAGCAGTTTACCTTAAGTTTGTATCTATTGTGTGTTCGTGTATTGTTTTGGTTGAAGCTGAAGTAGTCATTGACAGGTAGGACATTGTAGCAGATAATTTTATATACTACGTTTAGGTCAGACCGAAGGTGGTGTAGTTCTAAGTTCTCTAAGCCCAAAATTTCAAGCCTGGTGGCATAAGGTATTCTGTTGCGAGCACGAGGACGCTTCTCATGAAATATCTCTGGACTCGCTCAATTGTATTAATGTCCGATATGCAGTGCGGGTTTCAGACAGATGAGTTGTATTCAAGAATTGGTCTAGCAAATGTTTTGTATGCTCTAGTTAGCAATACAATATTACCAGAGAAGAAACTACACAAGATTAGGTTAATAACTCTTAGAGCCTTTTTGGTAATCATGTTACAGTGGGCTCTGGCATTTAGATCATTAGATATGAGTACTCCAAGATCCTTGACAGAGTGGGAGTCATCTACGAGGTTGTATCCACCTAGCTTGTATTTTGTGTTCTGATTCTTTTTGCCAATGTGTAAGACAGAGCATTTGTTGGTTGAGATTTGGAGTTGGCAATTGTTTGGAATATAGTATTTATATATATTTGTTTGAAATATAATGGAATATAGTAGATTTCTATGGGTTCAATAATAACTCTTCCTGATAGCTAGGCATAGGATTCCAATCTCAATCAATTTCAGTTCTTGCCAAAAGTTATGACTAACTTCATAGGATTTACCAAGAGCCTTGGTAGCACAGTGGACTAATGCACTGTTATTAACATCTGCTGCTTGCAATTACTGCAAGTTCAAATCCCACCAGGCTCAAGGTTGACTCAGCCTTCCATCCTTTCAAAGGTAGGTAAAATGAGGACCCAGATTGTGGGGGCAATAAGGTGACTTTGTATAAATATACAAAAGTATGAGGGCTATTGCTTAACGCATTGTAAGCTGCCCTGAGTCTCCATAGAAGGGCAGCATATAAATTAAAGCAAAAAAAATAAAATAAAATATTAATCTAACCCCAATGTTAAAAGAATAGTACAATACCTAATCTCACCCCAAAACCACATCAATGGAACCAATAAAAAGCTGTTTTTCATTGGTTCTTGTAAATAAGGTTTCATGGGACAGAGAAGACATGATCAGTTTCCTAAATTTTCTGTGTGTGATGATCAGATCCTGACTAATAAAGATTTAGAACAGGGGTGTCAAACTCGTGTCGTCACGGGACATATCGTGACTTTTTTCTCTTCACTAAACTTGGTGTGGGAGTGACCAGAGTGTGATGCATCCGGCCTGCAGACCGCGAGTTTAACACCCCCGATTTAGAAGATGGTTATGGATACACCTTCCTGAAGACACATTATACAAAGACTTAGTTGTCTAGAGAAGCTTAGGAAAGAGAAGAAGAGGAAGAACAGCAGCAAGCCGACACAGACTTGGTGGCATCCATCAATCAGCAAGAATTGGGTATGTCTAGTTTAATGAAAAGAAGGACTAGGGGTGATATGACAGTAGTTTTCCAATATCTAAAGGTCTGCCACAAAAAAGTAGAAGTCAAGCTATTCTCCAAAGCATCCAAAGGCAGGACAAGAAGTAATGGATGGGAACTAATCAAGGATAGAACTAACTTAGAACTAAGGACAAATTTCCTGACAGAACAATTAATCGATGGAACGCAGAAGTTGTGGGTGCTCCAACCTGGAGGTTTTTAAGCAAAGATTGGACAACGATCTGTCTGAAATGGTATAGAGTTCCTGTTTGATCAGGGGTTGGACTAGACCACCTCCAAGGTCCCTTCCAACTCTGTTATTCTGTTCTGTTCACCCAGTTGTAAATCCCAATGGTGCTTTTTCCAAAAGGCAACTGGACGTCCTTGGTTTTTTTCTTTGCTTCTCATTCAAAAAACTTCTTCGGTTCTCTTGGATGAGAAGCAAAATTTTTTTCAAAGAAAAAACCACAAGAAAATCCAGTTGCCTTTTGGAAAAAGCACCTTCGGGACTACCATGACCTGGATGATTGAGAATCTCCATAGATACCCAGCTGCAAGCTCTTCTGTTATCAGTGAAAAAAAATTGCTTCTGACTGGATTTCAGGAAGTCTCCTAGAAAAAAACAAAGTCTCTTGTGTAATGAATCAGAGGATAAATTCATTTCACATGGGAAATAGTTCAGCTGTTAAAATGCTGGTAACCTCTTCCCTTTGATCTCAATAAATCTTGCTTTAAAATGTTACTTGAAAAGAGTTTGGTTAAAATAAGCTGCCAAAAGACCTACAGCTGCGAATGAATCAAAATTTGGGAAATGAAATCAAAGGAATGGAATCAAGGGAAAGGATTTCTTGTGGTCTTCAGGAGGAATGTTATATTTGTCTTCAAATAGTACTTTCTCCTCCCAAACTTTATATTTTTAACACAGTTTAGGAAAAACACTGGTTTAAAGTAAAATTAAGGCCTGTATAAAACATTTTTTAAAAAATAATGACATGGTATTTCATCCCTTGCACAATAGGACTTTCTCCACCTAATACATCTAAATGGTGCCAAAATTTGAGCACCTGTTATGCTTTTCACATTTCCTTTTAAAAGTAAGTTGCATTTGAAAGAACAAGAAAAAGCAGGATTGGGATAGTAACAGCAGAACCAACTTGCTTTGTCTGCAGCAGACTGCTGAAAGGAGTGCATCATCTGGAGCTCTTAAACCATGTGTGGTAGAAACCAAAAAGGAGTAGATACTTTCTTGTTATTTTCAGCTGAAACTAAAGAGCTTCACTGTAAACCTTAACAGTAACAACCCTAAAATCCAAAAATAATACCAATCCTTTCCATGTACATGGACCCTGTCTCATTCATTTTGCATCATGTCCTGTGGTACTGCAGCCCTCATTTTCTGGAAGATGGTACTTGTAACCCCTATACTGTCAATCCTAAACTTTGATGGGGAATTATGGATATTAAATTGACTGCAATTTGATTTGACTTCTATCCTGCCTTTTTTTACCGTAGCAGGCTGAAGTCTCATACTGAGCATGCCCCCTAGCAGTTTTCCTCAGAACAGCAACCTGGGAAGTCACTGAAACAGACAAGGTGACCCCCAAATCATCTAGTAATTTCCACGGCTGAAGTTGGACTTGAACCTGGGTCTCCCAATTCCGATCCAAAAACTGAGAAAGGATAGGGAAATAATATAAGAAGAGAATCATGCAATGCTTATTTAAAATCAAATTATTTCAGACTCCAAATCTCAGAATTTTATTACCTTGATCGCTTTGGCCAGCTGTTATGTGTTATTGAAGTTCAGTGGTGTCAGCAAAACAAATCTCCCTGTCCAATTTTCCTGAGATTGTTTTGGGGATAATCACGCAAGCCGTTAATTTGGAAGGTCATCATGCAACAGCTCCATATTAGAAAAGGATGGAGAACAATTATCTCCCATGGCAATGAAGGTCTTACACAGGGCCAACCCAAGAAGATCCAAAACTCAAGATTTCATTACCTTGACTATGAGCACGCTGACCATTGTGTACTATTGAAATTCAATGGTGTCAGCAAAACAAATCTTCCTATCCGATTTCCCCAAGATAGCTTTGGGGATGCAAGCCGTTAATATCAACCCTGAAGCCATTTTGGAAAGTTTTCAGGGCTGCCGCAGCAAGGCCAATTAGAGCTGTGGGAATTGGAGGGGGGAATAGGGATAGCTGGGGACTTATAGCCAAAATAAAATTCTTTGCCTGGGAACCAAGAACGTTCTTACCAGGTGCTGGGGAAGCGTGGACTGAAACCAACTGGAGTTGGGACTGTGACCTGGTTGGACCATGTGAAGGACATGTGGACTGGGAAGGAAGATTTTTAATTTGGGTGGGGAAAACCTCGGGCCCCTATGACATGCCTAATAAATATGGATTTTGAGGAGCATCTTGGCCTCTGAGTTTTGATTGCATTGGGACTGTTACTTGAAACCCTGACAGTTAATTTGGAAGGTCAACATGCAACAGTTCCATAGAAGAAGAATCGAGAATGGTTAGCCGTCATGGGAATGGAGGCCTTACTCAGGGCCACCTCAAGGAGATTCAAACTTCAGGATATTGTTACCTTGACCATGCAGCATAACTAGCTTTGACCAGCTGTTTTGTCTACTATTGAAGTTCAATAGTATCAGCAAAACAAATCTCCCTATCCGGTTTTCCTGAGATTGTTTTGGGGACGATGCATCATGCAAGCTGTTATTTTGGAAGTCAGTATGCAACATTTCCATATTAGGAGAGGATCATAAATGGTTAGCTGCCATAGCAATGAAGTCCTTACTGAGGCCAACCCAAGACGATCCAAATTTCATTACCTTGACCAAGTGGGGGGACAAGCTTTGGCCAGCTGTTGTGTATTACTGAAATGCAATAGTGTTAGCAAAACAAATCTCTCAAAACAAATCCAGTTTTTCTGAGATTGTTTTGGGGTTGATGTTAGCATTACATAAGCTGATTATTTTGCAAGGTCAATATGCAACTTTTCCATATTAGGAGAAGATCAGGAATGGTTAGCTGCCATGGAAATGAAGGCCATATTCAAGGCCAACCCAAGAAAATATACTGACCTTAGAAAGGAAAAGACTCCATGTCTCAGGTGGAAAAATCTTCGGGATTGACACAATCCTGTTACCATGTTGGAATTTTAATTGACATTTGGAATGGGGAAATGGCCCATCTATGGACACCATAGATCAGGGGTGAAATCCAGCAGGTTCTAACAGGTTCTGTAGAACCGGTAGTAGAAATTTTGAGTAGTTTGGAGAACTGGCAAATACCACCTTTGGCTGGCCCCAGAGTGGGGTGGGAATGGAGATTTTGCAACATCGTTCCCCTGGAGTGGGATGGGAATGGAGATTTTGCAATACCCTTCCCCTGCCATGCCCACCAAGCCACGCCCACAGAACTGGTAGGAAAAATTATGGATTTCACTCCTGTCATAGATCCTGAATATTCTCATACTGGATACGGACCTACGTTTGTCAGGCCTTTGTTCCTTCATGGTCTGATAACCAACAGGCAAAAACAAATACAAAAATCCCTGCCAGTAACAGAATACTTATTAAGTATTATAGTGAATGCCATCCAACAAACATTGACTTAAATGCGGGGGTGTCAGGCCTGGAAGCCATCTTTTTTGTTGGATCTTCAGGCCTGCCACTTTTACTACTGTGGAAAACTGGAAGAGGGGATTGTATGGAGCCAGAGTGATATATAGTCATAATAACATTCCTTTCTCAGAAAGTCAAGGACATCTTGCCCTGCACCAAGACAACTGGAACTGGGAGGCCTCTCCAGTTGGGACGGTGCTTAGATTAGACATTATGATAGACTTGTGGGTGTTGGGCAGGGACTTGGACTTTCACTTGAGTGGGGAAAACCTGGAAGCTCTTAGATTCGAGTTTTCCCAGATGTGCCAATATGACATCTCTAATAAAATGGAACTTTGAGGAAATTCAAGTTTACTTTCATTGGAGGTATTACTTGGAACCCTGACCCGGGGATGGGTGGGTGGGTGGGGGGACGGGGACAGAACCATGTAATTTTTGAAAGTATTTAAAACACGGTGTGAACTTTACAGAGCATTATATTTACTTATATCTACCATGTTTTCCTGAAAATAAAACCCAAAAATATTTTTTTGAACCCCGAAATAAGTGCTTGGCCTTATTTTTGAGGAGGTCTTATTATTTTGGGGCACGTGGAGCAAGATGGGGCTCCTCTTGCCATCTTACCTGATTTCCAGCTCTGTCTCCCTAACCCTAACCAGAGGAAATGGCGGGAACCAGCTGTGCATGCATTTAAATATTTTCGGGGAGGGCTTACTTTCAGGGGAGGGGCTTATTTTAGCGCATGCACTCAAAAGTCCAATTGGGATTATTATCCAGGGTGGTCTTATTTTCAGGGAAACAGGGTATTAGCCCCCAAATTTTGACTACCTTTGGAATGCATTAATGTCTCTTTTTCAGGCATCGAAGATCATACAAATTCTGCTACACTGCATTCTTGGTTGATCTTCTGACAAATAAGGGTTTAAAGTCCATGTTATATAACTGACCTAATCTATGTAATTGCTTCATATGTCATTTGAATAATTATATAAATGATTTATATAACATTGATAATGTAAAAAACCAATTATATAATGACACAAATAACATTAAATTTCAAATCACTTTGGAAGGAGCAAGCTTTGTCCACTGTTTGCATATGAAGTTTTAAGTATAATTTAGTTCATTTTATTCGAAGTCTACATAATGGAGGTTTGGAGATCATGTTTTACTGTATATTTTAAACATGCTACTTAGCTAAAACATTTTTTTCACTTACATGGTTTATGTAGAGACTCTTCCGTTTTTCTCTCACTGTAAAAACACAAAATGTATGAAAGTTATATAATCTGAGGTCAATTAATTTTTGTACCATCTATTGTTAAAAAAATTATGACCTTTGTAAAAATGGATAATCAAAAACTCATTTTCTAATTTTATGTTCATATTTACTCTTGCAGAATAAAATACACAATCGGGATGTGTAAATTTTAAAAAAAGTTATATTAACATGCTGCTTTATAAAGGAAATGATTCCAATTTCATGATTCAGTTATTTAATTTCATTGAAACATTCAAGGACAAAAACATTTTGATACACTCAAATAGCACAAAGGCATGAATCATGTTTTAAAATATTTTTTAATTTTTATAGTATATATATAACTTCATTTCAATTTTATATGTTTTCCATCAGCCTAATTTAAAACATTTACTGTCTATAGAACTTGATCTTGATTTTAAACAACATTGTCTTATTTCAGGTACAAAATTTAAGCATCAAAACTTTTTAGATGCAGGGCTTTTGATATCAAAATCAAAATCAAAACATAAATTCCATCCATGTTACTTAGGCACCCAGCTACAATAATATTTCATTCCTTCATGCTCTTCATCTTTCAACTGATTCATAGTTTTGGAATGCTGGCAAGGGCATTCAATAGCTAATGGAATAGCTAATAGCTAATACCCATTTTCTGAGTTTTTGTATAGTTTCCTTTGCACCAAAATCTTCAGACAAATCTCACTTCTCATTGCTCTCATAGTCTACACTGCCTTTATTTTATTATTTTATTATTTTTTTTATTAATTTGATTTATATGCTGCCCTTCTCCGGAGACTCAGGGCGGCTTACAATGCGTTAAGCAATAGCCTTCATTCTTTTGTATATTTTATACAAAGTCAGCTTATTGCCCCCACAAACTGGGTCCTCATTTCACCTACCTTAGAAAGAATGGAAGGCTGAGTCAACCTTGAGTCTTGGAGAGATTCGAACCAGCAGAAATTGCAGGCAGCTGTGTTAATAACAGGGTGCACTAAACCACTGTACTATCAAGGCTCTTTAGAAAACTAACAAACCAACTGTCCTTTCCTGAAAGTTTGGGTAGTACCTCTACATCTGATCTGGTTACAATTAACTGCATACTGAAGAAGCATCCAAAGGTGAACTCAAACAAGAATAATTCTGAGAGTTAGAAGTTCAAAGATAAGGAAATATTTCTATTCTTCGTGGAGTTCTACATTACCTTGTGTTGAAACATCTTTATTATTTGCTAGTAAGACCCTTGGTGGCGCAGCAGACTAAAGCACTGTTAAAGTAACACCAGCTGCCTGCAATTATTGCAAGTTCAAATCTCACCAGGCTCAAGGTTGACTCAGCCTTCCATTCTTTCGAGGTAGGTAAAATGAGGACCCAGATTATGGGAGCAATATAAAAAAGAACACCGCTTAGGGGGGGCCGAAAGCCCTACTAAGCAGGTATATATAAAAGTATGAAGGCTATTGCTTAACGCATTGTAAGCCGCCCTGAGTCTCCGGAAAAGGGCGGCATATAAATCGAACAAATAAATAAATAAATAAATAAATAAATAAATAAATAAATAAATAAATAGTAAATTTCCAACTCTAAATTAAGTTGTTAACTATAGAGCATAAAGCTACTAAAGGTGTTTGCAGGAACCAGGCCTTGTCATGTATTATGCATGCATGTTGGTAAGCCTTCAACCCAGTAATTCTTAACTTCTGAATGCTCCAAATGGATTATGTACCGTATTTTCTGGTGTATAAGACAACTGGGCGTATAAGACGACCCCCGACTTTTCCTGTTAAAATATAGGGTTTGGGCTATACTCGCCGTATAAGACTACCACTCTTCCAACTCACACCAAATAAAAATAAAATAAAATAAAATAAAATAAAATAAATAAATAAAATAAAATTAATAAAACTACACACACACAACACAACTGGCTCACCCACAATGTAAAAGCAGCTGTGCTAGACCCAAAATGGCCCCTGCAACAAGCAGGAATCTCACACAGCCACAAAAAGTCCCAAAAACCAACTTTCACACTTTATACACACAAAATACAGCTTTGTGAGATTTTGAGTGTTTGTGTCGTTAGAGTGAAACACTACAGAAACATACAAAATCTCAGAAAGCTGCACAAATATTATTTTATTTTATTTTATTTTTATTTTTATATAAAAGCAGCTAAATTTAAAACTTCCAAAACTTTAAATGGCTAGGTCTAAAAAAAGAACAACTAAAAAAACCCCCCAATTAACTATTTTCTTTAAAGCTCCCAAGGGGGGAAAAAACTTACCCAATAGAACAGGGGTCTCCAACCTTGGCAACTTTAACACTTGTAGACTTCAACTCCCAGAATTCCTCAGCCAACTTTGCTTTGCTGGCTGAAGAATTCTGGGAGTTGAAGTCCACAACTTCCTGCCTGCTTGATTGCGGGCAGAGAGATTCAGTTGCTTGCTGATGCAATCGACTGCAGGCAAACGAAGCAAGGCAAGTGTTGCAACTAGCAGCTAAGGTAAGCAAGCTGGAGGGGGGGGATTTTTGCTACCGATTAGCAGTCAGTCAGAGCCATTTAAAAGAAAACACTTTTTTAAATGGCTCTGGCGACCCAAGCTGAATTGCCTGATTATTGCTGAGCACATTGTAAGCCGCCCTGAGTCTTTGGAGAAGGGCGGCATATAAATCAAATTAAAAAAAAAAAATTAGCAGGCAACTCAGCTGGGATGGTCAGAGCTTGGCTCGTCAGAGCCTTTCGGGCTGGTCTGCCTGGTTACAGGAGAAGGACACCTGGCGTATAAGACGACCCCTGACTTTTGAGAAGATTTTCATGTGTTAAAAAGTCGTCTTATACGCCAGAAAATATGGTACATGTCAATTCACAGATCACTATTCAAAGTGCTATTGTTCCAGATAAGAACAAGTAGTCCACATTGAGTAACCATAGTTGGGACCATTAGCTATGTCATTAAGCAAAGCAGTCACTAAGTGGGAAATCATGTGATTGCAACCATGCTTTCCTTTTCTCCAGTCCCGCCCTTTTTGGAATATTCATCCTGACACTGGAACAGCTGCTAGACTAATCAGTTTTACACCTTCAGCTTCTTTCCCTCCTAATCACTCTCCTGCTGTTTGAATCCTCCCTCTGGTGCTGGAATAATTAGCAAAAAGGAAATTAATTCATTGGAGGGGAAGGGATTACAGGCACACAATAGGGAAAACATATCAGGAATACAGTGGCACCAGCAGCCCCCAGCATGAGCCATATTCTCCATTGCGTGCCTGATTACTCTTTTATAATCCCTTTCTCTCCAATCTGTTCACTCTGCAGGGAGGGAGGAATGGGTTAGCCCAGGAGAGATTGCCTATAGCAATTTTTTCCCTCCCAACCCCACTTGTGTAAGCAATCTCTCTGTTTAGGGCATATTCCTTTCAATGTGTATTTCCTTTTGCGTGCCTGCTTGCTTGTAATGCCTTCCTCTCCAATCTCTCCACTCTGCAAGGAAAGGGGTAAGTAAAAAAAAACAAAAATGGATACCTACTGTAATGGCAAATATATGATTGAGGTTCCAATGGGGACATGAAAGGAGCCCCCAATCGGGTTTCCATTGGGCAGTGGTGATGTAGCCAATTAATCTTTTCAATCTGGAAGGTCTCAGTACTTCCAATATGACAACAGTACCAGCTGTTGTCATATTGGTTGCCAGTACCAACCAATACCAGTACCCAGGATAATGGGTACCAACTGTAATGCCACTGTGACTAAGGGTGCTGCAAACATCATAATGCGTATGTTAGTCATAAAACTATTTTTTTTAGCACTGTTGTAACTTCAAACAGTTGCTGAACAAGGCAGTCACTAAGCAAGAACTACCTGTAAAACTTATTTCATTCAGAGGCTACCAAATTTTCTTAAGTCTCCATTTCTTTTAGTGTCACTGAACCTATTCACGTCTCTTTCATTTAGATAATGATTTTTCCAATAGTTCTTAAGGTTTTGAACCAAAAGTCTTTCTCTGCAATGTCCCTTAATTCTTCAAATATAAAAAATATTGATTTACCACTTATTATACGCAGAGAACATGCTACTTCCCTGTCCAAATACATGTAATGAAGATGTCTTAATATTTTTTTAAAAATGCTTACATGCCTTCAATAAATCCTAGACTATAAAACAGCATCTAAAAGCAAGCTCTTCACTGAAACCGTTGCACCCATAACATTTAAACAGAATGTGGTATAAAAGAATGTGAGACAATAAATTAACATATACTTTTAATAAAGCAGTGATTAATAAATGAAGCCAGCTTGTTCTAATGGTTAAAGCACCAGGCTAAAAACCCTGAGACTGTAAGTCTTGCCTTAGGCATACAATCCAGCTGAGTGAATTTGGGCAAGTAATTCTTTCTCAACCCTTGGAAGAAGACAATGGCAAAGCATTTCTAAAAAATTTGCCAAGAAAACTGCAGGGGTTTGTCTCACAATCACTAGAAATAAAATCTGACTCAAAGACACAAACACACATAAATCAATGAATTAGCATCATTACTGGCTTAGAATTTTTATTGGTGAATTTTATGGGTAAGGGGTTTTAAATTGGGGAAAGCCATTGGATTTAATTTTATTTCAAATTCATTTTAATGTTTGTATTGGATGTTTCTTAATCTTGGCTGTTCACCGCCCCGAGTCCTTCGGGAGAGGGGGCAGTATAAAAATTTAAAAAATAAATAAAATAAAATAAATAAATACTAGAATTCTAGCAGCTCTAATAAAAATTAGAACTATTGTTCATTAAAAACCAACATGTGTAACATGTGTAGAGTTGGTTAAAACACTCCCAACTCTGTGGCTCAATACATTAAATATTGGGTGTATCAAAAACATTTCCTTGCAGATGTCCAAAAAGCTAACAATAATTAACTTATTTTGTATTATCTTAAAAATAGATGACACTCCCTCTTCTGCTAGTTGACAAAGTACAGGAAGTTCTCAACTTACAACAGTTTAG